AACACCTAGAAGTATATTATAAAAGGATGCTTAACTTGTGAAGCCTGATCTGCAACAGATAGGTGACTATCATACACCTTAAAGTACTCCAGCCACCTCAAACCTACACTTCAGGACAGATTTAATTTCTCAGGCCATAACCAGCACTCTGTCTGCAATCTAATTATATTAAATAATTTCAAAAGTGTATCCAGAGTCCATTTCACTTGCTAATTGCCAAAAAGTAGGCTGGTTTCACACACTTTGCTGAACATCTCCAGAAGGCCAAGGCATAGGGTCTCACGTGCATAGGGATTCTGATTTATCACAACATTCCAGTTCTTCTTGTATTATGATTTGACAGCTATCTTGAAGTGTTCCCAGAAGGCTGAGCTACAAATCAGTCCTAATTGCAGGAAAGGGATCATTCCATCTTTTCTGGTAACCTACAAAGCAAGCAAGTTTCCTTCCAAGGGAAGACTACTACCCTCTTATTTTTTAGAGCTATAAATTAACAGCTCATAACTATCTCCTCTGATACTCTCAAGGATTTGTTCTGTTGCCCTAAGTAGGTTTTACCATTTAAAAGAAAAATCTCTTAAGACAGTTCCCTGAAAAAGGGATGAAGGAAATAGGTAGGTGGGCAACAAATAGACAGTCACATATGCAATGGTACCCACTATCTACTATGCTGTGACTTTGGGGGCCTGACGTAGAGCTCCCAGGGACTGCATTAGATTCTTGACTCTCTAGATTGTTTATCAGCACCATCACACTGACTGCTTTTGACCTAAAGGCAGATGAGACAACAGGCACCTTGTGGTGTGTTGGCAGTCAATAGAAATCTCATTTTTTACTTTGGTAGCTTACAAGAACTGCATTAGAAAAAACAGCAAAATGGTAGAACTACAGCCTGAACACTCCTCTGTTTTCTTTAGAGTGTTAAGGCTATTCTTATGTCATCCTAGAGCCAAGAATTAAATGCTGTTCACTGTATTAGTCCTTAGCAGACCCAACCTCTAAAATGGCAAGAACCTCCTAGAAATCTACACAACTTACTTATGTACCTATTATCCAGTCAACTGTTGCAAAACCACTGCAGCATTTAGTGAATGGGAAATTATGTTGTCAGTGATAGTATGTCTGAAAAGTGACAGAAGTCCAAGTGTCACATTTGAACACAGACTGAACAATTTTCACATCTTAGATCCTTGAAAGTCAAGGCTACATATGAAGCTTACAGAAGTCTCACCATTTATGCAGATCTTGAAAATCAAGTATACAAGCATTGAGCACTGTTCTGGAAGACTCTCCTGTTGAGATTCTCTCAAATACTAGAGTCTATTGCATAGTATTACTATAATTTCAGTTTTTCACGACAATGTCAGTTATGTTTGAGATAATCTAAAGAAACAAGACTTCCAATAGCCAAATTTATCTCATTCTAATGTAAACATCCAAAATAGGTCAAATGAATTGATATTGTTGCTTACACATAACATCATGAGTAAAATCTGTTGCTTATTTATTCCCCTTTCTCCAGGGAAAGAAGTATGAGGAATGGAGTACTGCAGCAGATAGTTTTGGGGTGTATTACAAAAAGCCCTCTGTTCTTTGAAGCCTCAAACTGCATTTACATTAAAAAATATTATAAAATTTCTTTTTTCTTCTTCCTGTTTCTAACTAATTATAACATCTCCAACAAAAGATAAAGCATGTTGAAGGTTTTAAGAGGATAAACAAACAGCACTAGCTCCTGAGAATGCTCTCCCAGCACTGCACAGTCTGCACCTCAATATACAAAAACCACTAACATCCCACCCAAATATACCAAAAATAATACCAACGATACAAAAGACACCCCCAAACTCATCAACCATCCACACCCCACAATAGACGCCAACACCAACCCTACCACTGCATAATAAGGAGAAGGATTAGAAGCAACTGCTAACCCTCCCAAAATAAAACTAACACTTAAAAAAAGTATGAAGTACGTCATAACAATTCCTGAAATGTAGGAGATGCCTTTGTATACAACAGTGCTTAGAGTATTTTATCATAGAATCATAGAATATGCTGAGTTGGAAGGGACTCATCAGGATCATTGATTCCAACTGGCCCGGCACAGGACACCCCAAGAATCACCTTGTGTGCCTGAGAACATTCTCCAAATGCTTATTGAACTCAGACAGGCCTGGTGCTGTTCCTCTACTTCGTTTAGTTGTCTTTGATCATGTACACTGTTAGCATCCAGAACACCACACTTGAAGGAGCAAAAAGTAAAAGACTCCACAAATTTATATAGCTCTTGATGCATCAGCTGAGAGGCAGAGCATGTTATCTGCCTCCAGAAAGAAGCTGATAATTGAACACAGCACTGTACTACTCTGCACAGATATGACAAATCCAGCTAGCAGAAGCTGGGTAGCTGGATCTCAGTTTCTTCATCTAGCTATGCATGTAAAAAATATTTTGATTGCCTTTTTTATTTTAAAAGTTTTCAGTTTTGACAGTTTTAGATTTCATGGTAGTTCATTTTTAATTTGCAAAAATGGTATGGTTTTTACATAGTCTGAATTAAAAGAGTTATAATGTTCAGACAAAGTACAATGTCTTGATATTAAATATGATCTAACTGTTGAGCCTTATGTAAACTAACAGGAGCTTTGGGATTTGGCCTGACAATGAATCTGCAAGGCACTTAGCAAAAAGAAAACCCAAACAGTATTAACCATGGAAACTGTAATAATAACTGGTACTGGAAAAGCAACATAGCCTGGTAATTTTAAAAGCAAGATAACATCAGAGTAGGAGCTACAGGAAGAGCCAAGGGAAAACACAGCTACATTCTAGATCAATCTCAATCAATGTACAATGCTTCACAATAACTCTTCCCATTAATTCACAACTAGGAGCACAGTAGAGTAAAACACTGTTTAGCTGGATCAAGTCAAAGGTTTCTATAATCAGTTATATGACTACAACTGTGGCAAGAACAGGTGTCTACAGAAAAACAACAGTGTAGCCATAAAAACTTCTCTAGAGGGTTTCCCAGACTTCAGTGTCTTGGAGCTCAGACAAGTAACCTGACACACTTCGTGGATTTTACTCCATCAATTTTCTAATACATTTGCAGACTTTTTAAGTTTTGTGGCAGTGTTCAAAATGTAATAATGTAACAGAAAGAATGAGCCCTTTCTCTCCTTTTTGAACTTGCTATCAGATAGGTTTGATGCTCTAGTTCACACACTGAAGACTAGAATAAATAAATAAATCCCTATTAATCTTTTCTGCTCCATTCATTACTGTATAGAGCACAGAACAGGACACCTCTTATCTTAGTTGTGCCTTTTTCAGATTGAAGTCCACATTGTCACACCTTAACTGGAAGATGCCCAATGCTCTTGATCACTCTTGACACCTCACTTGAATCTTTTCTGGTAATATTAGATCCACACTGAGATGTGAGAATCAGAACTGTATACATCATTCAAGTTGCAGCACAATATGGATTCATCAATAATGGTGATATTAAGATGCTTTTGCTTTGTTCCATATTCTCTTCCTAATAATTTCTAAATTCTGTTTGTTTATTTGACTGGAACTAAACAGCGAGTCCATTTTTTCACTGATCCGTAATTCAAAGATAACTTTCCTGAACAATAATAGCTATTCCAGAGTCTTACACAAAACGCATATTTCCTTTGTTTTCCTCTTCATCTGCATCACTTGACTATTACTTTCTCTGAGTTTTACGTATCATTTTAGAATTCAGTTCCTCAATATTGCAATGTCCTTTGAACATCTTTGCAGCCTGCTCTCCATTTTTCTACCACATATTACTTAACATCAGCAGCAAATACCTTGATTTTAAACCAAATCTTTAGTAATAATATATATCTACTGCCCACTTTCAACAAAACACAATTTGAAACATAAATAGTAAGTAAACATAAAAGACAGTTTTGTAATTTTATGTCCAGTAAATCACAGATTTTAAACTTGATGATGTGAAACTCTGCTTCTCTCATTACTTAGAAATCTGGATAACTACAAAATAAACCAAACCCTTTGCCATTACTAAAACACTGCATACATATTAGATCATCATGTCAAACAATAAAGCTCAATATTGAAATTCTGAGCCTTTCACAGCAACAGCTGTCTTTAAAAGACATAACGGTTTACGGCACTGAAAGAACAGTAACTGGAAGTACATGATGCAAAAGAATCTAAATTGAGAGAATTGAGGGTTGAGAACTTAAATCATGATGCTGAAGATACCACTGAATTAAATTTTAAAACATTTTTAAAAAATCGGCACTAACATACGTACTTGGAGAGTTTCATTCATTATATATTAACTGGCTTCCACGTATATGCCGAAAATCTACTATTATTTCAACTGTTTCTATGGAAAAGAAAACCAATGAAATCACAAGACATCAAATGATTAGAAACTCCAGCAACAACCTGTTTCCTCAGTGTTATGAGAGCTGAAGTTGCTGGATGTTAGACTTATAGAATTCCTCTAATACGGGTAATTAGCACTGAACCCAATAAATGCATACAACTGTCTTAATCTGCACACTAACATTCTGAAATGAAACCTATCCTCTCGAATACACAGGCTAGGCTGTCATGCCTCCTCAGGTATTCCAAGTCTTTGCTTAAGAGGTTAGTGGTGTTTGTCCCAAGCTTTACCAAGCAGACTGTTGAGTGCACAAGAGCTCTTATTTAGGCTTGCAGACCACAAATGGGCAGTGGAATAAGTAGTCCCTTTAGTTCCCTCACTTACAGAAAAAAAAAAAAACACACCAAATGAGCACATCTGCAGAGAATACTATTGATCTGTGTGGCATTTCAGTGTGCTACAAAAACATGGCAGTGCAGGTAAGAAGTCAATTTTCTAATAGAAGTGTTCTATCCTCCCATTTCTGTACATGATTACAGATAATCCACTGACATAATGAACACTTCTGATGAGTTAAATTACATATCAACATAGACAAACATACCTTTTCGCCAGGCAGACCAGCAGCTCCATCCTGTCCTTTCATGCCCATTTCACCCTACAAAACAAATGGATCAGTTAGAAGTTCTACAGACCTCTGAGGTTAACACAACTACTCAGGTCATATCAGACTCAACAGAAAAGCATCTTCTACCTGCTTTTTTGCTTAGTAATGTAGTCACTGTGGAGGAGGATGCCTTACATGTAACACTAAAATCAGACAAAATAAATGTATTTTAATACACCTGCAATGTCAATTCAGACCTTCATCTGACAAATACTTGTACATCCACATTTCCATAAAAGCAGGTCCACTGATTTTAAAGGAATTCATTGCAACAGCATAGTGAAACAAAGAGGGTCCATTTTCAATAGGTAGACTGTGTTCTACACTGAGAAACCTCAACAAGTAATACAGGTTTGTCTAAAGTCGCATGCCCACAATATTTTTAAAAGACGCTATTTAAACTCAGTTCCTCTCTCCCTCCGTTTTACCCCTCAGAGAAACCTTACCCCAAACCATAAGCAATCCATAAACATATTTTAGTTTTAAGAGACAAATGACCATCTGATCAGGAGAGTTATGGAAGATCCCAGCAGCTGCAAATGGGACCATAAGAATTAAAAATTACATAAGAAAACATCAAACACAGAAATGTTGTTTTAAAATGTCAAGTATAAGGTTTATAAAATTTAAGATAAAAATTGTTTGGATGTTAAAGGAATACAATTAAAGCACTGAAATCATATAGTCTTAATTTAAAAACAAAACTATAACAGTAGGTGTGTCTACTTGTACCAAGAAGAGAACATTCTCTAGTAAACAAAATGCTGCAGCCTTTCCTGGAGTAATCCAATTTTTTATAAAGAAAACATCACTTGTTTGAATAGAAATAACTATCAAGTAGTTGTTTGAGAGAAAGGGTTGCACAAAGAAGCAGAAGAAACACATTTACACAAATAAATGGTTCCTAAAATAGGTTGCAAATCTAGGTTTGGAGCTCAAATCTAAAACTGTACACCCAAAAGTTGCTGCTGAGGAGTTAGTGCCCAAGATCTCTAAACTCATAAAGTGCATAACTTTTTAAATAGCAAGATCCTACTGGTAGTAGTTCCAAAGTTCACAAGAGAAACATTAGAAACTGCACAACTCTACCACATTCCAGCAGTTCCATGTCTTCCCCAAGAACAAGCAGAATGGTTTCCTACCTGGATGACTGTTTCTGCATTTTGCATGAGACTGTCCCCACATAAAGTGCATAACCATTTCTTAAATTACAACCTAAGTCTCTCTATCAGGTTTAAAGAGATTTTAATTAATGCAGTTATGGTACTATAACATCAGCTAGGTATCTCAGAACTCAGTATCAGAATACAAACACAGCTCTAAAGTTTAAAAAAAAAGACAAAAAAAGGAAAAAAAGAGAAACCCATAACCCCCCCCCCCAAAATCTGAAAGATTGTAGTAGCTTTATCTTTTCAGAGCAAACACAATAACTCTGTTCTGAAATGAAGTTAACCTTTCTGAAGTTAAGAAAGGAGCAGTAAGATTGTCAAGAAGTACATAAACCCAGTATTTTTTATATCCCAGAATCATAAAGGTCAGAAAAGACCTCCAAGATCGAGTCCAACCTTTGACCGAACGCCATCATGTCAATTAAACCATAGCACCAAGTGCCAAGTCCATTTGTTTGTTGGACATTTCCAGGGACGGTGACTCCATGACTCCTCTGGGCAGCCCGTTCCAATGACTGACCATATTTTCAGTGAGGAAATTCTTCCTGAGCCCCACCTGGCTACAACTTCCTTTCGGGTGATTGTGTAGAGTGATAAGGTCACCCCTGAGCCTCCTTTTCTCCAACCCCAGTTCCCTCAGCCACTTCTTATAAGACTTGTGCTCCAGACTTTTCACCAGCTTTGTTGCCCTTCTCGGGAAATGCTCCAGAACCTCAATGTCCTTCTTGTAGTGAAGGACCCAAAACTGGACACAGTACTCAAGGTTAGGCCTCACCAGCATCAAGTACAGATCTCTGGTCCTGCTGGCCCCATTATTTTTGACGTCATTGGCCTTCTTGGCCACGTGGGCACACTGCTGTCTCATGCTCAGTGGCTGTCGACCAGCATTCCCAGGCCTTTTCCACCAGGCAACTTTCCAACCACTCTGTCCCAACCTGCAGTACTGCATGGGGTTGTTCTGGCTGAAGTGCAGGACCTGACCCTTGACCTTATTGAACCTCATACAATTGGCCTCAATCCATGGATCCAGCTTGTCTAGATCTCTCTGCAGAGCCTTCCTACCTTCCAGCAGATCAACATTCCTGCCCAGCTTAGTGTCATCTGTGAACTTACTGAGCATGCACTCTATCCCCTCATCCAGATCATCAATAAAGACACAGACAGCTCTGTCTCAAAAGTAGACCAAAATCCTGTGTTTGTGAACATCAATCCACTGCCACTACAAGAAATAAAGAAGTAGGACTGGGCCCTGGTTAACTTATCTAATCACTCACAGAGTGACTCTCTTATCTATGCATGCTCTGTTTCCTTATGCCACTTGCCAGTATTTTGATAGACCAGACCTTCATTACATTCAGCAGTGTATTTTTATACACTGTATAGTCTACAATTACATAGCCTGCTACACTCCAGGAAGCCTTTAGCCTTACTAGCCAATTAACCAAGGTATGTTTACTCTTCTGTTCCACTAACTGCAGATAGACTCCCCACCTTGAAGACAATTATTTTCCACTGCAAATTAGATCTGCAAGTTATGCTTCTGTCTTCTAGTTGTGATTTTATTAACCACAGGCTGAAACGTTATAGTTTTTCACGCATCTATGAGTATAAAGGTCAGAACTATTGGTTGTATGACCCCTAACAGAATTCATGTAGGCAGCATGACAGACTAAAACCAAAAACAGAGCAAATGCATTTTTAACTTTTTTTTCTTAATGACATTTTGTTTTCCTTCTGCAAATCTCAAAGTCCTTCAGGAAAGTGAAGCATATGAAGTATATGATGCCAGAAGAACAACTTCGTAAGGTGGTGAACACTAGTAGTACAATGAGGTACACTCAGTGTAACAACATTCAAAGGTAGAATCGTGAGTCTACTGTTAGGATTTACTAAGAGTACCAGTGAAAATCTTTTTCAACTGAGTACAAAATATTTATTGAGTAAAATACTTAAACCACAGCACATTTTTTCATATTGTGATCTATTGCAAGCAATAGGATGGCTATTATCTTTTTGATGATGTTTGTTTTGGTAAACACATAAACAGACAGCATGGAAATTAAGCATGCTGAAATTAAAAAGAAAAAAAAATGCTTCTGTCTGTCAACTTTCCATAAAGCTAAGCCAATCTAAATTCTAAAAAAGAGTTTGCAGACAGCAAACATGCTTCTTTTCAAAGTCACCAATCAGCCTTCTATCTGAAGTGGAAACAATTTTGCACATCTGAGATTGCCTGCAATATTACACTTTGAAAACCTAAAGCCCAATGTGATAGAAAGAATGACAAAGTGATAACTAGTTAACAAATTACAGTCCTTTCTCATATAAAACCAAAAATCACTCTTAAGAATATATTTTATTTAAACATGTTATTTTGTCTCATGTCTATTTACGATATATTTACATTGTAATATGCTGTAGGATTAACTTGCCATAGTAATATTTAATCTAGAAAACACAGTCTACAAGGAATTTTGGAGGAGGAAAATGTTCTCAGCAGGATTCAGTACTAACCAGGTACAGATGACGATTTTAATAAGAAGATAAAAGCAAATGCACTTAGTAAAGAGAGTAACATTACCATGGCCTAGAGCACACACCGCTAGAGCATTGCATTACGACATTGCTCTTGTCTACAACGGGGACCTATTAGTTCAGATAAAATGAGTAACATACATCAGTTATCAAAACACTTGACCTTAATCAGGTTTGGTTTGATGAGATTTGATTAAGTAAATCAGCTTTCCCAGTTGTCACCACAGTTATGTGTGCCATAATGTTGTGGTTTAACCTTGGCCAGCAACTCAGCCCCACGCAGCCACTCGCTCATTTCCACCCCTCGGTGCAATGGGGGAAAGAATCGGAAGAGTGAAAATGAGGAAATTTGTGGGTTGATATAAAGACAGTTGAACAGGTAAAGTAAAAGCCGCACACACAAGCAAAGCAAAGCAAGAAAATCATTCACCATTTCCATGGGCAGGGAGGTGTTCGGCCATCTCTACGACAACAGGGCTCCATCATGCATAATGGTGACTTGAGAAGACAAATACCATCACTCCAAACATCCAACACTCCTTCTTTTCCCAGCTTTATATGCTGAGCATGACACCATATGGTTTGGGGTATCCCTTTGGTCACTTGGGGTCAGCTGTCCCAGTTGTATTCCCTCCCAGCTCCTTGTGCACCCTCAGCCTCCTCGCTGGTGGGTTGGGGTGAGGAGCAGAGAAGAACTTGATGCTGTGTAAGTACTGACCAGCAGTAATAAAAACATCCCTGTGTTATCAATCCTATTTCTAGCACAAACCCAAACACCGCCCCAAACTAGCTGCTATGAAGAAAATCAACTCTGCCCCAGTCAAAACCAGTACACAACATAATCAGAAATGTCCAGGTAAAAAAAAGTGTAATATTATCAAGCAAGAATAAATAAATTCACATTCAGAGAATATGCCAAGAGAAAGAAAACTCATCCCAAAGGCAGCATCATGCCAGAGTTCCTTTGGTACTGTGGGAGCAGCAAGGAGTATAAAGACGAGGAAGTACCATCCCCATTACTCCCAGCAAGAGCCCCTAGATGTGTACTGACCTGTTAATGCAGGGGCTTAGCCTTGTCATGACCTGAGCTGGGTATTGCTGGTTAAACCCCTGTGCCAGGGCCAGTGGTTGCTGCCTCTCCTGCTCCACCTTCAGCTCTGGAGTGGCCCCACTGAGGAAGTATGACATTCCCCCTAATAGTCTGAGCACCTCAAAGAGGTGCCACCATTTCCACTCCTCCCTTCAGAATACTTAAACTGCAATCCTCAGGACTCAGATGAATACTGGAATAGCATATATAACAACATGGAAACAAAGTATACATTTCAGAATTTTTTATAAGAAAAAATTAAGCTGCATTAATAATGGTACTTTTCCTTATACTTTGATAACTTGGACTGTTAGATGGTAAAACATAAGTAGGACTATCCATAAATTCTTACTTTATAAGCATGAAGTATTTTCATCTGCTCACTCTAACAATTTTAGTCTACCAAGTACACTGGCAGCTCCTGACTTTGTCATCACTGACAGCCAGCCATATTTTGCCTCTTTTTTTTCTTTTTCATGCATTTTAGCTTTTAAGTCCCTATCAGGGACATCTGCAACAAAAACTGGACCAGAAAGGAACCATGCTCAACCTAATACAACAGATATGCAGAATCAGGTGGATTGGGTTTTAAGAGGAAAGTCAGAGGAGCAGGAAAGGAGTTCTCTAGGAGTTCTTTTTGCTTATTGTTCTATTACAAATATTTTACTAGAGCAATAATACATATTGAGGACAAAACAGAACCTTCATATCTTTATCAAAATACATTTGCTAACAACTAATATATTTGTAAGACCCTGAGTAGCTATATACCATGCTGAAGTAGTAGAAATTGCTTCTAAAACAGAAAACATGGTAAATTTCTCACTCACCCCAGCAGAAGAGGAAACTCAGTTCCACAGCTCAGATATCAAAATGTGTTAAATCATAGGAGACTTCCACCTGATTTGTGTCCACTTGCAACTTGTGAAATACACTGTGCTAAGAAGCAAGCTGCCATGAGAATAACAGGCTATTATTCAAGGATAGCCTGAATTGTACTCTTGACTGCTGTTGCCTCTCAGCTTTCATCCCATGGGAAAAAGCTGTCAAGCAGTCCAAACTTGTGTTTCAAGGGCAGAGATCAGCAAAGTCGGTCCAGATGACTTTTTCAGTTTTAATTATTCAGAAATTAAAGAACAGGAGGTGGTCCTTTGCTGCAGAAGTTGATCTCCCAGCTAATAAAATCCTACAGAGCAAACTGACTACTTTACTCGTGAAGCACTGGAGATAATATTTTTGAGTGAAGAACTGTCCTCATGAAGCCATAATGTAAGGCCAGGTTCAGAGGCACTAATATGAGCCAAGAGTACAGGAAGAAAGTGGAAACAGGCTAATAATTATATTTTAAATGCCTGAAAAAGGATTATTGGGTATCATACTTTGTACCTGGTGATAGTTTAGATATTCCTGAACAGTCTGACCTTAGGGAAAAGCTGTGTTAGACCGAAGGTTTGAATATAACCTAACACTAACTTGTATATATAGAGACTTTCTTGCCAATCTCATAGCAACAAAAAAGACACATAAATTCATTCATGCAATTAATTACAGTGGATAAAAATTTGGAATGAGATAAAGTAAAATAAAGGGATAGGGATTATTGTGCTGAAAAAGATAATATCAATAGATACAGAAATTTCCTAGAAAAGAAGGTAAAAAATTATATTTTCACTGGGGTGCTGCCACTGCAAGGACATATAAATATATGTAAATATAAATTTACATATGTAGTTAGTTGGATGCCTATAGTAATATGATTTGGAAGCAAAAGAAAATAAAATAAGAAGCTGAACACAAGGAAAGGGGGAAACATAGGTTTAAGCACCACACACAACCTACAGAAATCCCGTTTTTTTGTGACTGGGAAAAGTCACCAAGAAGCTACCTTTTTAATGTATAACATATTACAAAACATCCAACTAGAGTTCGTTAGTTTCCTTTGCATAATCTGAAAATAAATCATGTATCCTCCATGTCTGGAATGTTCTGGAGTCTGCCTCTCCAGGTCTAATTATTGATGTAACATGGCCATCATTGAGAGTGAGTGTTACTGAAAACTGCAGAAATGCAGAGGGGAACAAAAATGGTACCAAAACCTCAGAGAATATTGGAGTCAGCTCCGTCATCGTTGGCACTACTCAACAAAGGATTTGTTTGCTCCCAGAGGTCAACAGTGAGCCAATCTTATTGATCACAGCAGTAATCAGATCACAGTCCTCCATCCACACCCCACATCCTTCCCCTCAACACAGAACACCCCACTGCAAAGTTAGGAACTAACAAGTACTGGTTAATTATAAGGAAGGTTCAAATTAAGCAGCTTTCTACCTGTTTGCTGTACTATTCCAGACTTTAACCTGCTGGTTCATTCAATTTTTTTGAAATTACATTGATAAATGTCAATATATCACCTTTAGGCCAAACTGCTGAATGCAGCAGGGTTCATTGACTCTTGGGTGGTTTTTGAATCCACACAATGAGGATTTCTTTGTAAAATGAATGGGAGAACAGAACCAGAGGTGATCACAGGCACATACATGCTTTATTTAGAGGTACTATGCTTAGCATGATAAATACTAATTGGCTAATTGGCTGGGAGACTAAATGGTAAAGAAATCAGACTTGAGAAGTCTCCTTTCCCATCTTAGTAGCAATAATAGCCTAAATGCATCAGGTCAGGAACAGAAGAGCAGTTTTCCAAATAAATGCTAGGAAACTCCCTACGTTGGTAACATAGGCTAACACTAAAACTTGACAATTGTTCCATATACTCAGCAAGTGTATAGGATCAGTAAAAATTTGTGATTAATTCTGAACACTGACAGTCATCCTTCTAGGCTCACCTGGACTATAGAAACTAACATGACTTAACTTTTTTTTCCACCTAAAGATACAGCTTGTATCAAAAGTGAAATATGCACCGGAGGGGAGCAATATACCACCAAGGAATTTACTTAATTATCTACATCGACTGTGTAGATAAGCCCTCCCAGAACTGAACCCTCTTCAGCCAGGTACTGCAGTCCTAGGAACAGCGCTGCCTGTCTTAACAAACTGTTTCAGATCACATATTTAACAGTGCGCTGTGAGGTAGGATGCTGGGTTAGGATGCTTCCATCCTAACCCGTGGATTCTAAGTATCTTCCTCTCACACTGCATTCCCTGAACTCATTTCCTATCCCCCTGTCTTTCTGGGCAATTTGCAATAGTTTATTCAAGTTGCCCCCTCTATTAGCACAAGGAAGACACATTCCTAGACATGTCCTAATTCAGCATCCTCAAAAAAAATTTAGGGAATGGAGTGTGAAGGGAAAATATCTGATATGTTGACTTTTATTATTAGGAAATCCCCAACCTACACAACCAATAATGTCACGGTAAGCATTAGAGAAAAATTCAGAACAGGCCTAAAGGAAAGAGCACTGACTGGCCTCTCCTAGGGACTTGCCAATGTCAGGTCCCTCTCTCTTCACAATTAACAAAGTTTCAGGTACGACTGTTGTCAAAGAATACAGTGACAGCATATTGGTGAACTCATACCCTCCTACTGATGACTGCAAGGATGAATCCACCACACAGGATTCTGTCCATCAGCAGTGACATACACACATGAATGGAAAAATCCTTGTCAGACTACATACATGACTTCTTTTATTTTTTGATAAGGGGAACAGGCAATATGGAATGCTAGCAGGGTTGAGTAGGCATGTGCTTCCCAGACCGGTAAACTGTGTTCCATAGAGTTGATGAGGTGACCCCAAAGTGAGACAGCTGTAAGTTGCCTGGCAGGAAGCCCACATGCAGAACCAAGCACTGTGCATAGCGAAATTCCTTTTAAGGATTAACATAATACATATAGTACTATTTAAGAAAGATAATCCAAAGACAAAGATTTGAAAGAAAGAATTCAACTGATATTTTACCTTTTCTCCTTTTTCTCCTTTCTGGCCTGGCAAACCAGATACTCCTGGCAATCCTGCTTCTCCCTTATTTTTAAAGAAATAAAAAAGGCAATAAAGCAGATCTAAAATATATTTGGTTCAGTTTCCTGTCTTTGTCACAGAAGCCTAACAAAAGCAAATGACTCAATAAATACAGTGCAACACCCAGGAGAAGGATTAAAAGAAAACAAACATTATGTAGAATATAACTTATTCTCAAATCAAAACATTTACACTAAATATAATGCCTAAATATAATTCTCATTTTTACCATGGTACTTTTTGGGTGTATATTCAAACAGTCAAACCATATAGACATCTCTAAGTTTAAATTAACTAAATCTAAAATTTACTGCTTTTTAACTGGGAAATATAACGTAAGTACATTACAATCCTACAAACCCATAAGATTTTTTCATAACTTAAAAAAAAAAAAAGGCCACTATTCTTTATACCTAGCAGGATTAAACAGCATCATGCACCAAAAAGCAATAGGAAAACTTCATACTTTGTTTGGAAAGCAGTGGCATCTCTCTCTAGATTCTTGCTGCATTCCTGGAAGCGTGTATATTTTGCTGGCATGAGCAGTTGCTGGTGACAACGTTGTAGGAAATAACCTTTCCTCACGTGGGCACTAAAATAAAAAGATTTTCTGGTTTTTGGTCCACTTTAGTTAATAGATAAATAGGATCAAAACAGTAGTTTTATTAAAACCTCCTGTTTTAATACTCCTATACACACCATATTATGAAAAGCCACAACAATTGCCAAATAGAGAAAAGAGCTGTAATAAAATGAATTCTAGATATTCTGATCCTTCTGTTCTGAAGTCAATGCCAGTTAAAACTGATAAGACTGTCCCAATTTCTTCCAAAAGAGCCCAGAGAGAGCAATAAAATGTCCCAAAATGAGAAGTAGTGAAACAGAAAATGCCCACAGGGAAAAAAAAAAGACAGTACCTCTCAGTCTCATCTTGTCCTTCCCCCCACCCCAAAATGCAAAATGTAAGAGTGAGTGCAAAGGAAAATTCCATAATTTTTTTTTAATGAAATACTTCAGGCATACATAGTTTGGAAAGAAACCATGAGAGCCCTGAAGCCAATATTCACCTGTCTTTAACTCCTGAGAGCTGAGCCAACCTCAAGATATACTACAGGACAAGCCAACAGAACCTGATAAATTTCAGAAGCTCTCATTAAGATGTAATGAGGTTTCCTTCAAGCCTTCTGTCAAAGAAATTCCCACAGGATTTACTACTTAGAAATTTGTATCTAAGTATAAATTCCTTCCCTTCCATTACTGAAAATGTAGCCCTTATAACTGGTAAGGAAGTCATGAAACAATAAATCAGAAATTGTAATGCTGGTTTCAATATGGAAGTCATTAACAAGTAGCCCACCATTTTTTACATCTTAAACATAAGACACAGAAATGAAACTGATGGTGTTTTTAGCTATATAGCTGAATCAATGTTTAAGATGTTATTAAAAAAGCCTGTTGTTGAGCTTTTTGTGTTCATATGATTAGGGTTTGTTTTGCTCGTGCTTTTTTGCTACTGTTTCATAACTGATAAATAAATTGTATTTCCATGCACAAAGTGGAATCTACAGAAATTTCATTCATTTCACTTTTCCATGAGCTTATACATTCAAGAGAAAGCCTGCACTATTACCAGGAACATATTTAGAAATATATTTGAACAAAAAATTACTATTTAAAATTAACATTTCCCCCAGAAATTAGATCCAGTCCCTTCCTTGCTTCTGAGCACCCATCAGTGGTCAGTTCCCAGAGTGTTCTGCTCCTCTGTTCTTGAGCAGCTTTCTCTCTCCTTTCCAGGTATGCTTTTCTCCTATCTCTTTTTTTGAATGGAATCAATCAGTCCTTCTGTATCATCTGGGGGATTTTTGCTGACTACAGGCTCACTGGTGATGGTACTCCCCGCTGTCTCAGATGAGCCTGATCTTACCAACTACTTACAATTAGTACAACCAACATTTTAACATTTTTCCTTTTTGAGTTTTTTTGTGTTTTTGTTTTCTTTTTCTTTTTCAAGTGGGCTAGATTGCAGGTGTAACTGTTTTGCTCAACGTCAAGCATTTCTATAATTTTAGTGTCTTCCAGTTTACACTGATTTTGTCTATCAAAACGAGAGGGAAAAGTGAACCATTTAAACTAAATTAGTACTTTCCCTTAAACAACATATACATCTCAGCATGTGCGTTACAAAGAAGAAAGTATTTCTTAAAATTATCAAGGTTGGAAGAGAACTCTAAGACCATGAAGTCCAACCATCAATCTAGCACTATAACTTGCCAGTAACGAAACACCCATTCCATCTTAGTGTATTGAAATAAGGAAAATGCCCAATGCCTTCCTATTTTCCTCCTACTGTCATGCAGACTCCTCCATGGGCTTTGTTTATATCATCTGTGCAAAGGTCAAATGCACACAAGTACCCCCAAATACCAAGCTGTGGAAGGATTTAGGAGAATTTATTTCCAAAGGTGAGAACACAACAAATCTGCAACAGGCTTAAGAAAGACACACACCCCATTCTTCTCAGGGCTTCTATCATCCTTACCCCCCCTCACCCCCTTCCTGCCTGCTGCAGGGCCTTCAGACACGTCTGCAAGAGCTTCTCTTATGCCCAGGAGTCAGCTCCTTCGGAATGCAGGAGGAGAAAACATCTAAAATTGTCTCTGGGAAACATGCCTTCTTCCAGACAGGAAAGCTTCCTTAAGCAAAAAACCATAATCTCCTTGCAGTAACATCTTCCAGAAGGGTCTTCTACACTTACATCCATAATGCTTCACAAGATGCAACCTTACTGAAACGGCCTCTGTTGTTTGAAACCATCCTCAAGTCACCTCAGTGATTTGTTTCCTACTCTCTGAGGCTTTCTCAGTTACTAATTAGATATTAAATCAACGTTAAGAAATGAATTTAAAAAGCACTAGCAGCCCCTAGTGCCTTTTACTGATGTCCCACTGTGCCATTTAGTTAGGCAGCAAGAAACTATGTACCATGGCTCTAGATATGGGATTCATTTTTAGAAGGTAATTTAACTAACACCTCTATTGAAAGTTATTTACAACATTTTAGCAAGAAACAACAAAGCAATTTCTTTTGTATTAACATTTTAATTTTAACAGACAACTTACCAAGTCTGCAGATATTTCACAACATGTATCTTCTGTTGCAAGTTTTGGATTACAATAAACTGCTATGTGGTGAAGTTCAATCTATTAAGAAATACAAAAGAAATTAATATGAGATGTAAAAAATTCTGTGTTACAGCATGCTTTTTCTTATCTTGGCATAATAAACTTTCTCTTTGAAACACTGTATATTTCTGAAATGCTAGAAAGAGACAAATCCAAAACAATTACACAGTTCCTCATTCAAGGAGCAAATTATGCAGTCTATTACCTTGATGTAAATCACATTTTAGATTTTATTTATTTTCATGTAAGTTGCATTCGTCTGTATCGATCTTGCTATGTTACACAGGCATTTTACCCCTCTAGGCATTTTACCCCTCTAGACATCCTCTGTAAACATTCTTTTCAGGAATGTAATTTTCCTCTGCAGGGAACTGGAGAAAAGGTTTGATAAGCTCTCTATTGCACACATCATTTTCTGCTTTGGACAGACCTTTGCCTGGACATTGCCACTAAATCACCCGAAGAGCAAAAGATCATAAATTCTGTACGTAAAGCTTTACTTCAGAGATTTTGGGTGGATTGGTGAGATGAAAAGCATCTAAATTTAACTAGCTAATCTTGTCTTCATATGCCTCTTTCTGCTTTGGTTTTATATCCTCTTCATTTCCCTCTTGCACTTGGTATTGAGAAGAGTGACTGTTGATATAGGATCCACTCTGCTGCCTTCATCAGCTTTAAGCCCATAATGTTTTCCTGCAAATGTGTAAGTCCCAATAGACAACTTCCACTCAGAATTATCCAGCTTGTCCACGCAATCAAAAAAGAGATCTGCTCTTTCTTCATGCTATTTGGAAATGAGGAGATTGTACACACATTTCAAACAACGTTGAACTCAAGCCTTAGAAAATAAAACTAAACATGAGCTTGGCTCCATGAAATACGAGCTCCAAGTCCAGGCCAAATTGTTTAGAGCCTCACAAGAATGACTCCTCCCGCAATGTTAGCTTGCAGTTACAAGGTGCTATTTTCATCTGGAACCCTACAGTGTACATAGTATAGCTGAAGTTTTCAGATGGTCACTATAAACTCTAAGGCAGATGTTTTAAACCTGGTAGCTGGATGTCAGTGTACTTAAAACAAACTGACATTTCCTGAAGATTAGAAATTATTTGCTGTGAGCTCTCTGCATGAGGAAACAGAAGAGAGCATCTCTGGGACAGAACACAGCCCAGAATATTATGGGGTTGCCTTGGGTAATTCTTGCACCTAAGGCTGCAGGAAACACACCTCCAGCCACTTCGTAATCCCTCTCATTTGGATAGGGGAGTGACAACCATGAACAACGTGCCCCTATTTCTACATAGGTGAATTAACCTGAAACACCCTGATATCGAGGTAATCCTTAATTATTTTGTGTCTCCTCTCTGTCAAAGAAACAGCATGTAATGGATGACTGATACAAACTTACAAATTGATCTCACAAAAATGAAAGAAAAAGATTACCACTTAAGTTATCTTTAAACATAGTAATAATATGTCCACGGTACCTAGGGGGTTCATTCTGCAAAGTAAATACAGAAAAACAGACTCCTTAAACCAGGACTGAGTTTTATGTAGTTACTTAGACGACAGGTTTGCCTAAGCAGATGCTACAGCACTGAATACTATTTTGAGGAAAAGACTTGAGGAGCTCAAATTAAAAATACACATTCAAAAGTAACAACTGGTTTTGAACCTTTTATCTACATGATTCTTTACAACTGTGCTAGTAAAAGTATGGTTAAAACATGAGTTCAAGTTATCTCTTTTTTTTTCATACTACTCACATCTACAGGCTTATCATCTGCAGCACGAGAAGCAATCAGTGTCCTTCCCTGCAAGTCAATGGTGAATTTTTCATCAGTCTGCTTTCTCTCAATTAAATTACAATCCAAATAGAGCGAAATGATCCCTGACTGCACACTAATACCAAGCTTATGCCACTGCCGATCAAACAACGGGTAAATTTCTCGACTCTTAAAAGTGTAGTGCAGTATATTTCCCTGAGCGGATTTGGTCATATACTCCACCACCTTTTTTGTACCATCCAGAAGGACAGAGATCTGAAAGTAAAATAAAATAAAAGAAGTGGTCATTAAAAATTTATAAGAAACAAGCACATGCATAAACTATATATAATAAAAATACTTCAACTATATAGACTGGGCAAGAATTATGAAGCATTTTTCTATGTAACTTGGTGAGTACTTATCAGCTATAAATCATAACATGTGTTTTATCCTACTTTTCAGTCTTAACTGAATAGATTTGCTAAATTTCTGTCATTCCTAGAAGAAATCATCAATTTCTTCAGAGCAATCTGTTCCTTATAAACTGAAGTTAAATCCAGTAGTGAAACATCCACTATTAAATGTGTCATATTATATGAGGGGAAAAAAAGAAATTTATTGAAAAAAAAATAAAAAATGACTCTAACCTCAGGTGTGTCATACTGATTTAAAACTTGCCATATATACCAACGTTCTTTCTTGGTATTTCGCCGTACACGGAATGCAGCAACTAGAGAGTATTCTTCAGGAAGCCCATTTGGAAATACTTGCCTGCAAAAAGAGGGAGGAAAAAGATTTCTTGATATTCTTATACAAACAAGCAGTGCTTAAAAAGAATGAATAGAAATAATACTTGGTGAAAACAAGAAGTCAAACACTTGCTCACACTCATATAAATTCACGGGCCTCAGCAATCAGAAGTGCTTCTCCTCAAAGTACAATTCAGTCTATTTATAAGAGTAAATGACTGAATATTTTGTTCATTAATTTTTGTTCTAACATCTGTGATTAATATAAATAGGAGTCTTAAAAGAACTGCTGCAAAATGAATGCCACACATAAACATATTTTAAAATACTGGCTTTCCCAATTTATTTCTTGGGATATTTGAACAAGTTTTGTAGAGGATTTGTGCAATAATCCCCATCCTTGGAGACTTTCAAAACACAGCTGGACAGGGCTCATAATAACCTGATCTAGCTTTCTAGCTTTGAGCAGGGATTTGATCCAGTGACCTCCATGGGCAATGACTCGGACATCATGAGTATCAGAACAGCTGGACTTTAGCAAGCTCGAAAAAGAATAAGGAATGCATTTTAGACTGAATAACTTGCTGTTGTTTGATTTTGTTATTCCTTTCTTACCTAAGATACACCAATGTCTCAAAAAAAAATTGCCTGACCTATATCACAGAATGCACTGTAACACCACTTCTATAAACTATTTGAAAAGTTTGTATTTCTCAAAAAATGAAATTAGTGTTTACTTTGACTCTATAGACTTTGGTAACCATTAAACATACACTAATTCTGTACTAAATAAGTTAGGATGGTGCAATCAGCTTTTTCCATTTGAAGCTTCTGCATTTCAAATTATTTCTTTTCTAAGCAGAGGTGAGACAAATGAAAACGACAGATGCAAATTCTACACACTGGAGTAGCTTAAGTGTTCACATTGTCATTTGCTGAAAACTTCAGGATTGCCCAGCTAGCCATACTGCAAAAAGCATTCCCTGGAGCAGAGTTCAAGAAACCTGAGGACCCCATGCAGCAGAAAAATTTCTTCAAATTTGTTTCCCATGGTCACACAAAGTAAATGGCTTAGTTCTAAAAAACTGTAAATGGGCATATAATTACACAGTAATGTGCTATAAAGCTTTATTAAAAACAAAACAATAACAAAGGCAGGGGGAAAGAAAGAGCACAGCATTACAGCCAACAAGACAATAACCCCACAACCCTCCTGAAAATTGTTGTACTTAACTTAGGATCTTAGGAAAAATGCCTCCTGTGCAGAGAAGCCTGCTCTAAATCCTGCTAAAGAGCTTCTTTATGGACTAACACCTATTTAAGTCGCTTACGTGGGAATCACACTTCTTCGGCTTATTTCCCACAGCTGATTCCTTTTTTATCCCAGGATCAAATTGGCTGCTCTCCCACATTGTTAGTAGACCCATATGATGTTGTACAGCTATAGATGTTTGAACGTCAAAAGGCAAGGCAAAAGTGAATAGGCTTGGCAAGACTTAGATCTTTATTTTGTACTATGTATTTTAAATATAGCATAAAGAATATGTTCTATGATTTATAAAAAAATACCTTCAGTAATACATGAATGTGTCTGCAGAACAATAAACTATCTGGATGTGGGATCAGCCCTATGATTTATTGCACCCCAGGCAAGCTAAGGTGATGGTATCTCAGGTTTACAGCTGTAAACCAGACAGGACATCTGACAGCAGGAGCATCTGATTAGCTTTCAAAAAATCTGTTAACTTTCCCAGCTAAGTTCCATATTGGGAGACACAGGGGAGTTCACATTAATAGGCAAAGGACAGACAATTGTGGAAGAGAAATGATAAGAAGTCTTCAAATGAAAGGAGAGGAAACCATGATTAGTATGATAAATCTAGAAAACAAATGGAAGTAGTTTTTGGACATAGTAGCACTCTTTTCTACACACACACACACACACACAACCCCACCCCCACCACTTCATTGCTTTTTACTGTAAGCCTTTCTAACACTTTCAGAGCCATCTAGATGTATGACTATTAAGTCTTCTGAATGTGTTTGTTTCAGAATTTTTTCAAATAAGTTTGATTGTGTGAGTACACATGGTATAAAATTACTTTCCTTAACTGTTTATCAAATCATTCAGGAAACAAAATGTTAAGATATGGGCCAGCATTATGAAAAAGGGGAGGAGTTCACTCTAACTTCTCTTAGCTTTGAACTGACAAAGAAAACCATATTGGGAGTAATGAGAAAAGCACACGAGATCAAATTAATTCCTAATGGCATTACACTGATTTCAGTGAAGTCAACAAAGGAGGGAAAATTTCAGTAGAATTGGACCAAGGATAAATTCAGTTAGATTCACAAGGTAACTTAGGTAGGAAAGTATCTCTGAAGGCCAATGGATCTAACCCTCTGCTCAAAGCAGGGCCAACCTGAAAATTATATCCAACTACTGTAAGTCCTGTCCAGCTGAGTTTTGGAAATCTCAAGAATGGAGAGTATTCCACAATGCCTTGGAAAACCTTTACCAGTGTCTGGTCAACAAGCAGCACAAATTTGATATACAAGTGCTGTATACCAGAAACATAATAGAAACAGCATTTTTATTTTGAGAAGAGTTATCATTGTTACCTATATGAACATTCCTTGGTTACCAAAAAGTCATTAAAAGATGCTTTAAAGTATACACTTAACTTTCAACCCTTCCAGGCAGATGGTGAGCATGAAAAGGGACAAAATGATGGGATGAAATATTCAGAAAACTAGCACACTATCTACTACCATACACAATTTCCCCTATGCTCCTGCTCCCTGAATGGCTTAAAGTGAGTGTAATAGAATAAAAAAGCATGCATCAAGCATTGAAGTGACTTGGGTACAGATGATTAGTAAGATACTTTAGTGATATTTAAGTATTACTGCCATGGTATCTTCTACTCTGTAAAGCTAATTTAAAAGTTCCTCAAAGATAGGCAAAGTATGTCCGTGTTTTAAACAACAGGTATACAATGACATCTGATGGGAAAAAGAAATGAACGGGAACAGAAACATGAACATAAAACCTCATATTGCAACATGAGAAAAGTCAAGCCAAAAGTTTACAGAATACTGAATTTGAAATTCAGTATTCAATTGCCACCGGCTGCCACATGAGAGGACCTCCAAAGAGGAGATACAAGGACTCTCTGAAACAACATCTCAGCCTTGGCCATATTGATCATCATAACTGGTCTACTCTGGCCTCCAATCGGGAGGCCTGGAGACACACCATCTATAATGCTGCTGATGCCTTTGAGAAAGCACACAGGATCACCCTTGAGAAGAAAAGACAACGCAGAAAGAATTGTGCCTTGCAGAATTTACCACCTAAGGAGTCTTTCTGCTGTGCCTTTTGCAATCGGACATGCCTGTCTCATATTGGCCTTTTTAGTCACCAACGCGCTTGTGACAAACGTGGGTAGAGCCCTTTCCTGAATCTTTGTTTGCGAAGCCTGGCCATGATGACTGAATCTGAAATTCAGAAGACCTTTGAATGTTTAGTATACTGTTTCACCTGATCACATCTACCAACATTTAAAACTTCAGAAAACTAATGAGATGTCATGTACAGGATGAAAACAATAAAAAAACAGCAGTAAGTGTTAATGAAAAATACAAAAGCAAGTTGGTCCACACGTCTACAGTTGAACAAATACTCCATCGACAAGTATTTACCCTTTCCACATGGCACAGGGAAAGAATAACAGGAAAAGAAGAGAGAAAAAGGGTGAAGGAAACCTATACCAAGCTCATTTTGAAGTCTACAGAGGTACACACAGCACAAACTGTGCTGTGAACACGAACTTCCGGTAGCACATCATGGTGTCTACACCAAAAGAAGTAAGAGAGATGACAGGTCTTAAGCAAGTTCTAATGTTACAGAAATGTGGGTAGCAACTAGTAAGTGTGCAAATTCATCCATAAAGACAAGAAGAAAGAATTTACAAATTAACACAGAAAAGCAGATGCCCAGGATATCCTGGGTATCTGATCCCTCCACTAGATGCCTCTTTGGACTTTTTTGGACAACAGTATCTGAACCAAATTATATAATCAGACTGGGGAGCAAAAACACAGCTCTGAGATTTTTGTGAAAAGGAAATACCCTTTTCAGTGGTACAATAGTCAAGTTCTCTCATTCTTGTTAAATTTCCTCAGATTAGGACAATCCAAATCAGACAGCATTCCCAGATGACTGCTCAAACAAAACTTTAAGGTTATTAAAAATATTCTCTCTTCCTCTTCTGCACTCAAAACACTCATGACTACTGTGGCTTGTGTCGGCTTCAATGCTGTCCAAGCTTACTATGTGTGATTTAAGCACAGTCTATGGCTTAGGCACCTCCAGGGACATGGACAACGTTCAGGCACCTCTACACACATCTTGAAGTCACAATGAAACCTGAGTGGGAGTTACATGCCTGTCTGCTTAAGCCATGGTGCTTCTAGTCTTCCGCAGAATTTATGCCCAGATGCCGGAGGAAATTAGTTGCCCAAAATTATTCATTTTAGGTGCCACTAGGGGATAGATGGTGCTTGAGAGTGGGCAATTTGAATAATTCTCAGACTGAGGAGTCCAAAGTCTGACTAAATTATACTTTAGGTGGAATTTAAACAGTTTGATTTTTTCCCTCTGTCCATATTGTTACTAGTATATATAAAAAAAATTAAAGTTGATGAATGGAGCACTGTGCTCTCAAAGCAAAGCACACCCTTGGTGGAAACTGCTGAAAACAATAGCAGGAATTAAAGCACATAAACTGAATACAGAGATTTGAATTTACATCACCCTGGCCAGCTGGGTTGAGGTGTACTGTAAATTACGGAGGCTGCAGCTGGCAAATTGAGGACACTACTGATAACCAGCAGGAAGATTCCTAGCAATACAAGGTTTTAGATTTTACAAAGATATGTTAGAAATCCATACATTCAGGTATTTCTTAATGTTTCACTGGTTGAAACATGAGGCAGATGGAGCCAGAATGGTAATAA